GGCTCCCCGCCCTGAGGCGGCCGCGCCGGGGAAGGGGCCGCCGGGCTGGGACTTGCGGGCACGCCGCGTGCGCGCAGTGGAAGTGGGAGGTTTCAGGCGGCCGCGTCGGCTTCCTGGGCCCCGCGCAGGGGCCCGGGAACCCGAGCGCCGCGTCTGCGCCTCCGACCCGGGCAAGCCCTCCTGGCGTTGAGGCGTCGCCCAGCCCGATAGGGAAACCCAGACAAAGGTGGCGCGCCCTCGGCCGACCCGAGGGCATCGGCGCGGGCGCGGTGCCGCCAGGCCCCCTCGGTGACACCCCCGAGCGATCTGGCAGTTTGCTGCCGACTGCGCGGAGGTGCCGAGGCTTCCTCTTCCTGCGCCTGGGCGAGGAAAGAGCCGCTGCGATTGTTGCGAATCCGAGTCGGCAGCCACTTCGCAGGCGGTCGGCTCCCTCGTTACTTGCCTTTAGCTAACCGCCCACACGGTTTGGTTCCTACCACCGAGGCTGCCTAGTTCTCAGTAACCCGATCTTTGAGGGGGCCCTGGAAGGGGCGGCGTGGTGTAGTAGAAGAAAAGTAATTAAAGCGAGCCGGTTTTCCTGCGTGAGCCCGACAAGTTGTAACTCGCGCCAATGAGCAGCCAGCTTTTTCAAGTTATGTCATGTGTTGACATATTTCTGAGACGTCTGCTTTCTCTTTGGTAGCTGGAGTGACTGGAGCGAGATCTATAAACAGGAAGGAGGGTGGTGGAACGCGATTCGGGCCTCGGGATCCCTCAGAACTGACTCGGTTTCCCGACCTTCCGGTTCAGCTCCCTGGGGGAGGGTTTATAGCTTGGCAAGCGCCCAACATTTTCCAAGGCCTTGGATGCCCCATTTTGGAACCTCTGCCCTCATCTCCCGGCTGTCATTACCTCATGGGCCAAGTGTCAGACCCCTTAGATCCTGAATGGCTTGACTCTCACCTCCAAAGCTCCCCGTTTCCTCTTGTGGGCGAAGGGTACGTGGGGTGAGAGAGCAAGCACTTGGCTTTTGGAGTAGGTTTCCAGTGCTTTTTGCCCCCTTTAATTCAGTAAACATTTGTCGAGAGTCCTAATGAATATTCAGACAGTTCTGAGTTCACTGGAGGCAAAGAGGGCTCTTCAGGGTCGTTAAACTTTGTAATTTGGATTTAAGGATAGTCAGGAATGGGCAAAAAGAAGGGAATTTCCAGAGTTGAGCTGTCAACAGCTGGGAAGTCTCTTTTTAGGACCTCTTAGTTACATTTTCTCAAGTGGAAGTTATTCCAAGAATTGCCTGAATCATTAACTTAAAAAAAAAATCTGTTCTTAAGTTCTACTTCCCTTTTGCCAGAGAGTGTACCATGAACTATGGAAGGGTTGGATATGACTGCAGAAAATGGAGCTGGCACGACTGATAATAATATGCATTTGCACGTTCAGCAGGGGGGCTTGAAAGTTGTTTCTCTGCTTCAGTTATGCTGATGTTTATTTCCAAATTTGGGTGAACTTGATGTGCCTGCTGTGTTGGCATTCCTCTGAGAAGACTTGTGCTTTTAGAAGCAAGGACCATGTCTGTCAGTTAAGACCTTGCCATATGAGGTAGATGCTTAAAAATATTCCTCTTGTCCTCTCGTGAGTGTTTGTGGCGAGCTTAGGTTGTGGGTTTTGCAAGTTTTTAATTATGAACTTCACTGGCACGTGCTTAATGCTCAGAAAATTCTCACTGGTTAAAACTTGGAGGCGTAAAGCTAACTCCCCATCAAAAAATTCAGTATTAATTATGGGGTGGAGGGAATGTCACCAAAGTTTGTAGAAACTTAGGACAACCTGATAAAGATAAAGAATATTCAGTGTAGCCAGTTATTTTACATGAAATCGGAATACTCAGATGTGTTAAGGATTTGCTTCTGCAAAAGATCTTTGCCTCAGATCAAAAGCTCAGTGTAAACCAAATGTATTCTGTTCCTTATTCTAAAGAAATATTTACTGAGCATCGTTCCTTATTTGGACAAGCAAAAATCAAAATAAAGCAGGAGTTAAAATTACCTGCAGTTTGCATGGTGTTGACATTTCCTACAAATAGAGAGTTCTAGTAGAGGAGAGAGTATGGGTAATAACATATACAATAAAGGTAGTGGGATCTCCTGGGTTAATATTTAGTTTACAGAGTATCTCTTAAAATCAGAATGTCATATGAAGATCCTTAAAGACCTAAGATGTAAAGTGCACTTTTTCATAAATTTTGTAATATAGGGAGTGACATAGAAAGCTTTTCCTCATTGCTCAGTTGTATAATACAGGCCATTTGGTCTATATCTTGTAAAAGTAACTCTTCTGGCAGCCACCTATGCAGAGCTGCCCTCATGGGCAGTGAGCTTATCTGAACGGAGTTGAAAATCGAGATGTAAACACAGAAACAGAGGCCCTGGGCTGCTCAGATGTCCAAGCTCTGTCATTCAAGTGCAAACACGTTTTTCATAGGAAAAAACTCTTAGGCCCTCACTTTGAGCCTATCGATTTACTCATATTTGAGTCAAAATAGTTGTGTGGTCAGGGTGTAGTGTTTTTGCAGGTGAGGAAGAGAAGGAAAGGCTGATCCACGCAGGCGTGGTGGCACAGGTGACACTGGCTGAAAGGGAGAAGCGTGAATAAAAGAGCCACGGTTAGCCCTTGGTGTGTGCACTTTGCTCTGTGCCAAGTACTTCATCAGCACTGTCCCACTCACTCCTCACCAGAAGCCTGTTCAGTTCCTCACTTACAGCTGGGGAGCTTGCGATTGAGAGAAGACAGGTAATTTGCTCAAGACCATATCCCACTGAGGTGGTGAACCAGTGATTGGACCCTGGCGGTTTCACTTGAGCGTTCATGTTCTTGACCATGTTCCTATGAAGCAGGGAATGAGGGGAGAGGAGCAGAATCTGGGAGGCTATCTGGAGATTCATTCAACCAACTTTCATTCCACAGGCACCTACCAAGCAGCACTAAGTGCCAGTCACCATTCTCAGCACCGGGGATACAGCAGTGACCAACAGAGAATCCCTGTATCCCTTCTCATGGAGTTTTCATTCTGGTTGGAGGGGGATGGGGAGATAAATGAAGAAATAGATTTTGCAGGATGAATAGGAAGAGTTATAGTATAGATATAATGTCTGTTTTAGAAATATACATGCTGCCTTGTATTAAAGGTGACTTGAGGTGGCTTGTAACAACAACAGCACTAAGAACAGTGCTAGTAATAAATATAAACTGAAGCGTAAAATTGGGCCACATAAAATGAAGTACGCAAATGTGTGCATCAGGAAAGCAAACTTTTTTTTCTAGTGCTGATTTATTAACTAGTGTCATTTTGGGATGAAGAAGTTCAAAAGGGTATTTGTATGACTAAAATACAGGAGATTGAAAAGAGGAGTAAGAAAAGAAAGTGTCTGTCTCAGGCTGATTGTAGGAGGTTCTAGAAAATGAAAAGGAAGCCCTTGGACTTGATGTGCAGAACATTTGTTGAAAGTTGGTCTCATTAAGGAGAAGGTAGAGTGTTTCATTGCCAATATCTTTTTGAGGTGGCCGGAAGCAGGAAAGACTATCTGGGAAACGAACAGCTTACCCAGGTAGGAATGTAGACGTGTGGCATAAAAAATACTCATTGAGGTCCTGTGTGGGTGAGTGTGTAGTACTGAAGGAGATGCAAAGTGTGAGACAAGACAGGAATGCATGGGAAGCTAAGTCACAGATCCAGGAAGCCGCGGGAGCCTCAAGGCAGGTCAAGGTGAGATGTCAGCACAGATAGACATTGTCTGCAAAAGTCAAAAGAAAAGCCCATTTCAGTTAAGCTGGTTAAGAAAGACTTCTACAGCAGAGAGGAGATTTGGGTCAGGTTTTGTAGGATGGATAGGTTTGGGATAGAAGTGCCCATGGACATTCTGTGGTTGGAAAGATCCTTTGAAGATGTAGAGAGTAAGAACCTGACAGTGTAAGATCTGTGAAGAAAACAATACCAGAAGGCGTTTAAGCCTGTGCCTCTGGTCATATCCTCCCACCCCACTGTCACCATGTACATATGTAATGGAGTAACAGATCACGGGGCTTTTAGGACCCTTTGTTTGAGGACTCTGGAGATGGCTGATGCCTGGGATTTGTCAGCCTGTGGGACTAACACCCTAATCTGTCTGAGCTAGCTCTCTCAAATGTCTGTACAGATTCAAAGAATCTTCTCTGAGATTTGTGGGCAGGTTTATCTGCTGAAGGCTGACTTCCCCCACCCCACTCGCACCCTATAGCGATTGAGTCCTTAGGATTTTAGCACTCTTGAGTCATTGGAATTCACACAGGACTTGATAAAGAAATCTGTTTGTTTTCAAAAACATGTTCTGGTCCACAATTTTGGCCACAAAGATTTTTCATTATGCGTGTAATGAAACTTTTGAAATCACATGTGTTTTCTTAAAATGTATGTCCTCTTATAGTTATATCTAGTTTCAAATTATTTTTCTGCTGTTGAATTAAATTCATTAGTTACTGCTGTAACTATCATTGATTGTGGAAGTCACTATCATATAAATGTGTATATTCGTTACATGTATTCTAAATATTTCTCCATAAATGATTAGTCACATCCTTTTACTTCCTATTATTTTTTTTTCCTGTTGACCAGTTTCTTCTTTGTTTATGTGTAGTGGACTTGTAATAGTAAAAGCTTTTAGAACAACTAAGACTCA